CTTTTTCGGGGGAAGCGAAGGGTACCCATAATGCGGGATGACGATTAATGAAAAAAATTGGGGAGAACGATAAACTAAATAGTTTTCTGCCATTTCTGCAATTTTCGGACTGGAGGAGAACGATTAAAAGATTAGTTTTCCAGCCCGCGGCCGGTTTTTTCTAATCGTCATCCCGGGCGCCGCCGCGTGAACACGACCCCCGGTCATTTATTAATCGTCATCCTCCATTACCACTCCCCTTTCCTCGCTTTCCCCGTGTTGGGCCTCCTGGGCGGCCCTCGTCGCCGCTGCCGGATTCGCCTCGACGTTCTGGTCCGAAGGGTACCCCGGGAGGGGTCGGGGGAGCAGCGGGATGGATACCTTCTGGCTTCCCCATATGGTGGGCGGCGCTTCTCTCCCACGCTGCCGCAGTGACTGTGGCCCTGAGCCACAAGAGATGGCCAGGGCAGGGGGAGAGGGATCGAGGAGGACGGGGAGGAGCACCAGGGTGCTGGGAATCCGTGCCCTTGGGCGCTCCTGTGTGCCCTTGCAGGCTTCTCCCCCGCCCTCCCCCCTTCCCTTGTCCGTTCTAACTCCTGCTGGCACGGGCGGCAAGCATATATCCGTAGCGGCGCCCTCGCGGTCTGACTTCCAGAGCGCGATCCTGCGGATTCGCGGATGGAGAAATACGTCCCGCGCGGGGCACACGCGACAGAGCAGCCACCCCGTACATCGGCGGGCCGCGGCCCGAGGGCCTGGCCGGCCCGCAGGGCGGCGGATGCGGACACGTGTTCCGCCCACGCTGCTGCGCGAGCCCCCCCAAGCGGAGGCTACGGAGAGGGGAAGCAGGGACCGACCGTCCCGGCATCCTTATAGTCCTACCACGAAATGTTCTTATAGAGCCCAGAAATGCTCTAAGAAAAGAAACAAGGTTCTTAGAACACAAACCCGATGTGCTCAAACAAGACAGACTCCGCCAGAAACGTTATGAGAACGTTTCGTGGAAACCACAAAAGGTTCTTAGAACATTATTTGGTAGGGCTATAGGCGAGCCAGGACGCTTCGCCACTGCTTGAAAAGAGGGAGATCGAAGAGGACGGGGTGGATAACCGGCTGGGTCACCTCGCGTCGCGTATCGCTGCGAGCCCGCGGTGCGCGGTGCGAGGTCGTCTTCGCGCCCTCGCGCCGCGGCCGTGGAGAAGGGCGCCTCTCCAGCCCGGGCCGCGATGCGTGGAGCGCGGCTCTCCTCGCGCCCCTGGGAATGACCTAGATTTAAGTCGGGCGTGTCCCCCAACAGAGGGATTTTCGACGGAAAAAAAGAAATACGCCAAAAATGCTCCAAAATGGTCAAAAGATGCTCAAAAAATAATCCCCAGACTATTGTTTTACTATTTTTGAATATTCCCCCTGTAGAGGGACAGGCCTGACTTAAACCTAGATCGGGGAGTCCGATGTCCCACCGGCCTTCTTGGACTGGGTGGTCCTGAGCGCTTCCTCTTCTGGCCCCCTCCTCCCCCTTGCGAGGAAGGACTCGTCGCTGCCTCGCACAAGCAGCAAGCCCCCCTCCCCCGCTGGACCAGCTGCCGCCCACGATCGGTGCGCCCCCCGCCCACCGTCCCTGCCAGAAAACCATACAGCGTGAACGTCGCAGCAACATCGGATTGCAACGAAGGATTGCAACGAAGGATTGCAATCCTTCGGTTTGTTTTTTGCAATCCTTCGCTTTTTTGCAATCCTTCGTCTTTTTGCAATCCTTCGTTTTTTGTTTGCAATCCTTCGATCATGAGCATGCCCCTCGCTTTGCAAGGGTGAGAGCTAAAGCAGATTGGCCCGCTGCGCGCCCGCCCGCCACCCGAAGATGATGCAGACGGATTGCGGGCGCGCACGCGCCAGCTCATGTTGACTGCCCCGCCATGACTTTACATTTGGTGTCTGGGGTTGCCCCTTAACCCGCTCCCCCGGGTCTGGAAGGGGCGGGGAGACGTTGGAGCGCCCAGGGTGGCCCCGGATCGCCCAAGGTTGCCTCCATGTGGCCACGGAGCCTCCCAGGGACGCCTTGAAGAGGCCAGACGCCATGTGAAACATGTTGTGCCTTTGTTCAAATGGTTCCTGCCAAGCGTATGTTTGCTTCCGATGGGCCACTAAGGCCTGAGGACGACGCGAAGATCGGCCAGGAGGGCCCCAAGAGGGGCCAATAATGGCTCCAAGACGGCACCGAAGGGGCCCCAAGACATAAGAGCGCGCCAAGAGTATCTCAAGACGGCTCCACACGGAGATGCTTAGGGTTTCAAAAGTGCAGCGCTAATTCACGCCGCCTCCTTTGACATCGACCAAGCAATTCAACAAATTTAGGCTTGACGGATTGGGGCGTTTCAGGGGCATCCTTGGAAAGCGGTTGGGGCAAGATGGCTTGAGTACTGCTCAATACGCACTAAGGTGGCATCCGAAATGGCACGATGAAGCCCAGCATTGCTCCACCAATGCCTCCAGAAAGCCTCACGACCACCACAAGACGACGACTCGCAGTGGCCACGGATCCCCCCGAGGATGCCCTCGTGAAACCAGCAGCAATCTTAGAGCTTCCTCAGGGCGCTGTCCCGGGCCTTCTGGGCAGTCTTGGGGCCCTTCTGGGTCCCTCTCTTCAGGGGAACGTGAGACCTGGGTACAGGGGACTCGGAAACCCCCGACGAGGTCGTCAAAAAGATGACGAGGCCGAGCCTGCATTTTGACGAGGCCTCCCGCTGCAGACATCCCACGAAACTCCTCCTCGTCAAAATCCGAGGCGCGGTCGTCAAAAAACGATGGCGAACCCGAGTCCTGGCAAGCCCGGGTCTTACGCTCCCCCGATCTTTGGTCTCTCGTTTCTCCTGGGCGCTCTCGGAGCCGTCCCGAGGCCCCGGAGACCCGTCGGAGCGCCACGGCGAAGGCACCCCTCATGGACACACGCCAGGTTTGTCCATGACTTCGGGAAGCGACGTGTCGGGTCCCTCGGAGGCAGCGCCAATGTGTGCCCCCCCTTTCTGACGGATGCCATCTACGTAGGATTGCTCACAAAGCGTCCAGGAGGGCCCCCCAAAAAAGGAGCCCCGACGGTATCCACATCTTGTCTCCACACCGCCCAAGTATGACCCCACGGAGTCTTCGAGAACATCCCAGTCTGAAAGATGCGTCACGGCCTTTACGGTTGACCCCTGGACCCCTGGGTATGCCCAAGCTGATCCTCAGCTTCGCTTCGACGGCTGCATCCCCTCTGTTCCACTGCATGCTCCTACACTTCCCTGATCAATGCAACTCACCTAGGGATTCTGGGAATCTTTCGTGGCTGGGCTGGCACGGATACGCAAAGCGTAAATGACATCAGGAGGAGGGGTGAGGAGAGAGGTAGGGAGGAGATGGGGAGGCGGACGACGAGGAGGAGGATGAGGATCGAAGAGGGCAACTAATCCCACCAGCCCTTTGGGCGTGAGTGGTTTAGAGAGCCCGCTCTGTCCTCAACCCCCCTTCTTCCCCTTCGGGGAGGGGTTTACCCCTCCCCCTACCCCCTCCCCCTGGACCTGGACAGGGGGCCCGGCGGGTCGTCAGGGGGGTCAATTTCGACTCCTGGGAGGGCCAAAAAACGACGACCCTCACATGGATTCTGGCCCCGACGGGGGGACGGAGATAGGCCCCTCTGCTCTTCTTTGAAGCCAAAATCATTGATTTTACTACGGTGTTGGCCCCATTTTGGCGTCCTGAGGGGGCCGCGCTCATCTTCCTTCATAGCAAAATCATTGATTTTACCAAGGTTTCGGGCTCATTTTGTCCTTCTCAGGGGGCAGCTCTCATTTGCGCTTCTGAGGAGGTCGCAAGAGGCCCCAAGATGGCCCCAAGAGGCCCCCAGGAGGCTCCCAAGAGGCCTCCGAGAGGCCCCCAAGAGGCCCCCAAGAGGCCCCAAGAGGCCCCCAAGAGGCCCCCAAGAGGCCAAGAGGCCCCCAGAGGCCCCACGAGGCCCCCAAGAGGCCCCCAAGAGGCCCCCAAGAGGCCCCCAAGAGGCCCTAAGAGGCTCCAAGAGGCCCCCAAGAGGCCCCACGAGGAGCCCGAACGACTCACACCAGGACGAGGGGCCCGAACGACTCACACCACGAAGAGCCCGAACGACTCACACCACAAGGAGGGGCCCGAACGACTCACACCAGGACGAGGCGCCCGAACGACTCACACCACGAGGAGCCCGAACGACTCACACCACGACGCGGGCCCCGAACGACTCACACCACGAGGAGCCCGAACGAGTCACACCAGGAGGAGGGGCCCGAACGACTCACACCAGGATGAGGGGCCCGAACAACTCACACCACGAGAAGCCCGAACGACTCACACCAGGACGAAGAGCCCGAACGACTCACACCACGAAGAGCCCGAACGACTCACACCAGGAAGAAGGGCCCGAACGACTCACACCAGGACGAGAAACCCCGAACGACTCAAATCACGAGGAGCGCTTTCTCTCCCTCCTCCTCCGCCTCGTCCTTCTCCCGCTCCCCCCACAAGGAGGATGTACAAGGAGGCGGGAGGAAGGAGGAACAGGGGAGATATGCGGGGCCAAGCGGACACACGCCTGAAAAACACGACTGTCGGCATGCTTCGCAAGAGTTGCTGCTGTGAGATGGGCTGGTGGGGATACGCGAAGCGTAAAGAATTAGGTTTAGAGAAGCGAGGAGAGGGGCAAGGCATGGCGTGGCGATGGCAGCTCGGCATCGAGAATTGAGCCTCGAGGTGCACCCGGCAAGGGGGCGTCGATGGGGAGAACTACATTTCCATACGTCATCCGCCTCCCTAATCGTGGAGCGCCACATCAATCATCACAATCTTGCGAGAGGTAAGAACGGCTGTAAACTCCGAAGGGCTCGGGGCGCCGATATGCCGGAATCGCCGGGCGCTCTCGGGCCCTTCCATGTGTGTGCTGTGGGCCCCTACCGGCTGGCTCCGCTGCCGCTGCTGGCCGCACCGGCATCCTCGACAGTGAATGCTTCCGCGTCCGA